GTATCAAAAGCTTTGCTAAAGTCAAGGAATAACACGTCCACTGCTTTCCCCTCATCCACAGAGCCAGTTATCTCATCATAGAAGTCAATATTATATCCTTTGTAACTTTTATGTACTTTTTTCCAAGAGATAACTGCCACTGCCCATAAACGTAAGGAGGAGCTAGCTCAAGCCTTGAAGAAGCTTATCCAGTCAAAGGGTAAAACACCAGCTCTAAAATACCAACAGCTCTTTGACGATCTCTGTGCACAGTCTGACGCAGTAAGTTTCTGCTTTCTTTGTATACTACTTTGATTTTTCCATCTCATGGGGGATCTTCTGTGTACTCAGCAGGGTCCTCAGTACTGATTATAGTTGTATCTCAGTTGAATAGGAAAAATAAATGGAAATCTCGACTAACAGTGGAGAGGTTATTTTACCTCTGTATTTGGCAACTGCTGCTGGAATACTTGTCCAGTTCTGGTGCTCACAGTTCAAGAATGATGTTGATAAATTAAAGGGGGTTCAGAGAAGACCCCTGAGAATGATTAAAGGATTAGAAAACCTGCCTTAAAGTGATACTCAGAGCTTAGTCTATTTATCTTAACAAAGAGAAGGTTAAAGGGTAAGTTGATTGTAGTCTAAGTATCTACATGGGGAATAAATACTTGGTATGGGCTCTTCAATCTAGCAGAGAAATATATAATGTGATCTAATGGAAGTTGAAGTTGGATAATTTTTAAATCAAGGTTGGATGTTTTTCTAAAAGATATGCTCTAGAAATTGTATGTATGCCGTTTGTTATACGGGTAATCAGTGTTTACAGTAGTCCCTTCTGGCCTTGGAATCTATTTACTTGCTGTCCACCTGACACATCAATAGGCATAAGATTAGCCCGCTTGCCAGTTGGTCATCAGGTGTTCCTGATTAACTAGCTTAATTCTGGTTTCAATTAGTGTTTCTTTCATAGACATAAGTTCCACCTGTGGAATAGAAGAGATCTTGATTACTTACACACTTGTCTTGCTGACAAAAATAAACTGATTATTCTTGTCAGCTATAGGTGTCTATTCTGGTTTGTACGTCAACAAAATCGTAAGCCAGGATCGCAGAATCTCTTATTACCATTGAGGATGCACAAGCCAGAAAGAACCCACTTTAACTGTTGCATTCCAGGATGAATTTCACAGCTTAAAAAGACAAAACTTTTACCTAAAACCTGGCAAACTTGACATGGAAGTTTGGTGAGACAAGCAGAATCGTATGATTTTTTGTTTAGGGGCTTTATAGCATGTAGCTTTTTGTATATGTTCTCAAGCTTTTCTCTTTTCTTTAAGGCTGTCACTAAAGAAATGTTCGAAGAAGCACTTCACGCCTTGGCTGATGATGACTTCTTGACTGTGACTGGAAAGACTGTTAGATTGCTGTAATGAAATGCTAACTTAACAGCAGAGTTTTACTGTTTTTTCCAAAGTACTTCCCTTGAGACCTTTCACATTTAAGAATATTATTCACTGTGGCCAAATTCATGTTGGCGACCTGTTGGTGAACACCATTGCCAGCACTGTAAATAAGGACTGCAAAAAGCTGAAATTAAACACAGCGATATTTGTTTGAACAAAATGGGTTACTAACATTTCATTGCAATGTGTATTTTCAATAAAGTGCTTTGTAGAACAAGCTAACAATTTTTATGCATTTTAAAGCACAAATGTCAAAATTCTTCTAGAACCACTGCTTTTTGACATCAATGCAACCTAAATCAGTGCATATTATTCTTTAGTATTTTTACTACAGAGAGATTAGTGCTTGTGACTTTTGGAAATTAAAATCCATTGGCTTTATTAATAGCTTATTTTCCTTTTTATGCATTTCAAAAAGTGAAGCTAAATCTTGGTGAACACTTCAACCCAGTGTTCAGAAACTGCAAACAGACTTCATTTTGTTTTCTAGCAGTTTAAAAGAACAAAGTAACCATTTTTCCTTTTCCCTCAGATTACTGCTTTGTTTCTCTTCCTCCCACCAATGTTTGTAATTGCTGTTCAAAGATGTTTTTCTGCTTTGAACTTAAACTTTTACCATAACGAGCTATAATAAAGTCAAGGTTTCATATTAGGTCATTTTCCTACAGTAAATACATATTGCTGTAAATTTATAATGTATAGGACAGCTCAGGATGTCTTCCCAGTCATTTTCTCTCTCTTGTTGGGGTGGGAATGTAAATCAGAGGATGCAGCATGCAGGCATAACACTAATACTACAGACATTTTATAGATGTGGAAAGGTGGCCTTTAGCTATTGAATTATGCTCCTCATCTGCTCTCAGAGCACAAGGTCAGTTCTCGCACTGTTTCAGATTATGCACAGCTTCCCTACATGTACATGAGATCAAGAGAGTATTTGAACAGGACAAAAGAAAGTTTCTTGAGAAAACAAGCTAAAGATGAATAAAGTTCAATACATTAGAAACTGATCATTTAATCCCACTGTATTGAATTTGTCAACATTTAGTACAGTAAAAAAATTTAAGCAGGATATTCCAGTGTTCTAACTAAGTTATTGAAAAGGGGGTAAACAGCAAGGAGGATTTGTAAATGACAAGTGTTAGTCAGAAGTAGCACGTAAGCTAGCCACACAAAAACAATGCTGACATATGCCTGGGAATGTATGTTAGAAGGAATAATTTGAAATATTAATACAGGCTGCTGGGTTCTAAATTAACCACTGAGAAGAAAGTTGTGGGTGTCTTTATGGCTAGTTCAATGAAAAATTCTGGTCTCTGTGGAGCAGCAGTCATACCAAACAAGGCTGCATAAGGAATGGAATAGAAAATACTACCAAAAATGTCAACTCATTGAAGTCATGGTACACCACATTTGGAATACTTAGTTCAGTTCTGGTTCACCCTATCAAACAATACAGCATATCTAGAGAGGGTTCTGAAATGGGTGTTACTAACTTGTAGAATATATTGTTATGGCAGAGGCTAAGAGCTTACTAGGATAAGATACTAATATGAATAAAAGATTTAAAAATAAAAAAGGCAGGTGGGGCATAAAGATGTAAAACGTTATTTTTCAGACCACAAACCAACCTGTGATTCGTAAGTGTTAGGCCTGGTCCACACTAACCCCCCATTTCGAACTAAGGTACGCAAATTCAGCTACGTTAATAACATAGCTGAATTCGAAGTACCTTAGTTCGAACTTACCACGGGTCCAGACGCGGCAGGCGGGTTCCCCCGTCGATGCCGCCTACTCCTCACGCCGAGCTGGAGTACCGGCGTCGACGGCGAGCACTTCCGGGATCGATCCAGGATCGATTTATCACATCTAGACAAGACGCGATAAATCGATCCCAGAAGATCGATTGCTTACCGCTGGACCCGGAGGTAAGTGTAGACCTACCCTTAGTGTGATGCATGGGCAGGGGTGGGGGGATGTAGCTCCCTTTGATGGAGACCCAGCCAGCCAGTTAGCTATAAAATCAAATCCCACTTGGTCTGTTCTCTGCTTGCTTTACCTGTAAAGGGTTAACAAGCCCACAGGTAAAAGAAAAGGAGTGGGCACCTGACCAAAAGAGCCAATGGGAAGGTAGAACTTTTTAAAATTGGGAAAGAAACTTTCCCTTTGACTGTTCTTCTCTGGGCTGCAGGGACAGAGCAACAATGCTGTGTAAGACTTGAACCAGGTATGAAAATTCATCTTCCATACCTTGAAAAAATTACTTGTATAGGGAATGTTTAGTTAAAAAATAAACCTGATTGTGTCTATTTTGGCTTGTGGATCTCATCTGTGCTAACCCCAGATGCTTTTGTTTCCTTGTAACCTTTAAGCTGAACCCCCCCCAAAAAAGCTATTTTGGGTGCTTGATTTTTTTTAAATAGCTCTTTTAAAATCTAGCAAAAGCCTAAATTCCCGATGTAACTTTTTCCTTTTTGTTTTTAATAAAATTTACCTTTTTTAAGAACAGGATTGGATTTTTGGTATCCTAAGAAGTTTGTGCATGTTGTTTGATTAGCTGGTAGCCACAGCTAATTTCCTTTTTCTTTCTCAGCTCTTCCCTGGATGGGGGTGAAAGAGCTTTAGCGTACTGCAAAGGGAGGAATTCCCAAGTGCTCCTTCCTGGGTTCAAAGGTGTTGGGGTTTTTTTGTTTGTTTGTTTTTTGCATTTGGATGGTGGAAGCGTTTACCAAGACAACGTCAGAGAACAGCTATAACCTTGGGAGTGTAATACAAACCTGGAGTGGCCAGTATTTTTAAAATCCTTGCAGGCCCCCACTTCTGCACTTGGAGTCACAGAGTGCGGATTCAGCCTTGACAATTAGGAAGAAACTTCTATGTTTATTTCAAGTTGTCCATGACATGTTTTCTTGCTCTTTTCCTTTAAGCATCTGGTACTGGTCTTGATCAGAGAGGGCGGTTAGGTTTCTCCGGGAAGGAGGAATAATTGAAAGCTATTTTGTATAAAACTTGAATTAAAACAACACCCCCAGTTACTGCTATAGGAGGAGAAATCCCTAAAGTAAAGATCAGTCTTCAAGGACAGAAAGAATTATCATACAGAAATAGCAGACCCCATCTGCCTACAACCTAAAGCTACATTTTACCTACAACAAATTTAAAATGCATGTTGAAACATGCCTCTAAGAAACACTGCCAGGCAAGTTTTTTTTCCCCTGAAATAAATACAAAGCACTAATTAATCATATGGTGTTTTCCAGCTCTTGTACTTCAGCTCCCTTTCAATTCAGCAGCATTCCCCACTCTCCATTGGCTGATATTTTTGTCCCCCGTTTCAAAAATAGCAAGTAAGGCTTATATAGTACTTTCTTTGGGGAAATTATGCTGGAGCTTAATCAAGCTGTCAGAAACCTTTTCCTAGGCTTCAGCCTATGTTTTCATCTTCACAGCATTCATAATCAATGTATTATCCTAAAAATAATTCCTCTCTAATCCTTACTGTTGCAGAGAATAGCTTTAGAAGAAAGAGGTAGCAGCTTGCTACTCATTTGACTCTTCTGCTTTTTCTCAAAAGATCCTATTCTGTGAAGGAAATGAATTGGAAATTCTCTGGAGCAGGGGAATAAATTTCCAGATCACTGCATGATCCTATGAGGTGGCTCTTAAAATTTCTACGTGGTCTTACACATATGTACCAGATCTATTTGAAGAATTTACATCTCAAATCCCACATTAGTAACTAGTAACATTAGTAACTAGGTGAATAAAATTATGGAAACATTTTAGAATTGTATTTGAAAGCTGTTCTTTACTGAAGCTT